ATCCAACTATACCACGTCACAACTGTGCCGCGACCCCCCTGTGCTGGGTTTTTTTTTGGAGGTTTCCCCCATTTACGGGGAACGAGGGAATTTTTTTCAATTTTTAAAGGTAATGTCTTCGACTAGATACAATTCGTGATCTTTTGACGTATCGTTGAAAGAAATCCGTTCGGTGAGAGCTGAGAAAAAGTGGTAACAGACACAAAAAAAAAAAAAAAAAAAAAAATTACAAAAAAAGACTATATGCTACATGATAAAAATAAAATCGAAATAACCAAAAGAACTNAAAAAAAAAAAAAAAAACACATCTTAGTAAAACCAATACCTTCTCAGCTTCGCATCGAAGCTAAAATCGGACTTTATTTTGTCTTCATAGAGAAAATGGCTACCGTATGCTTTTTCCAAAAAAATTACAAATTTAAAAAGCGGTAAATTTTGTCAATTTTTTTACTTTTTTTTGTTAAAACTTCCATAATTTTTTCAAAAATAAACAAACCAACATAATTTTTTTTTATACTAAAATCTTAGATATTTATCTTTCATTTAATATCATTTTGTTTGAAAATCTAACATTTATTCTGCTCACAGAGGGGGATTTAAAATGACAACTTTTTCACAAAAAACTAACTTTTTCAACTTAACTTTTGAAAATGTTCCGGAAATACTGCATCCTTTAAACATAAATAAAATTAAAGTTTATGTAATGTTCTATAAAATTAAGAAAAAAAATTTGTTCCGACGACCTATCTTCTAAGCGCAATTGAACCGTATTCAAAAATATACTATTTTTGTGTTAAAATCCTAGGTTTTGTACTTTATTTTATTTTAAAATATCTTACAAGGGGAATACACTGACTTTCATGAATATTATATGATTTAATTGACATTGAATAAAGTTCATAAGACATAAGTAGTTAAACTTATTTAAAGTTTTTTACTATTTTAAAGTCGAAAAAGTAATTTTTAAATTTGAGTTAGCTTAAATAGCCAATTTTATCATGTGTCATAAGCAGCGAACAGTTGCCGAACAGGTAATACTTGTGTTATTCACACTTACGGTACGAGTTTCAGATCCTTCTGTGGGCATTAATATTTTGCATTTTTTTCGAATTAGAATAAAATTTTCAAATCATTTGAGTAGTATATAATTGATCTTTAACGCCTAGGGTACGAGGTTCAAATCCGTTTGTGGCTTCTAAAATTTTGCATTTTTTTTTTTTGAGTTAGAATAGAATTTTCAAATCATTTGAATTTTATCCCATTTAGATTCAATAACTTCAATAAATATCAAGGATCCCATCACTATAGTCTCCCCTCGTGTAAAGAAATTTCTTATTCAGGTTAATACTATTTTACTATGTGGTTTTTTTGTGGCTACGAATTATTTTGTCAACCCTCACTTGACCTACTTTTATCAACGATACGTCAAATGATTACAATTCGTATTTTGTTGAAGATATTACCCTTATAATAATAACATTAATGTAATAATATTCTTCATATATCATTAACATATATTTTATATGTTAAAATAGGAAATTACAATTTTAAATATTTTAGTTGTTATTAAATTAATATTTTAAATGTTATCAACATAGGGCATTATTAAGATATGCCTACCTTAACGGACAATATATGAACATTTGGGCCGATGTAGTGGTCGAATATTTCGTTAATAACGCAGAATATGAAAAATATGAGGCAATTATTAACGATTTAATTGAACGCTCATCGATCGATCTGGAGATTTATTTACGAGAATTGTATGAAAGTCTATTCACCGTAGAGTCTGATTATCAGCATAAACGTTGGCTTGAAGGTAAACAATTTATTAGTAATACTTATGATAGTAAAATTAAAACTAATAGTTATTGAACAAAACTAATTTACTTTATAAAGGTTGAAAATTATGTTTACTTAGATAATTTTAATTGTACAGAAATACTTAACTTATTTACAAGTAGCAGTCAAAAGTTGAGGAATGAATTTAAAAATTGCCGTATGATAGATCTTGTTTGCATGTACAACTTAATTGTATCACGTAAACAAGATGAATGTTCATTACCTATCTTAATTTTATTTGATGTGTTATAATACATACACCACTCATTATTCANGCAAGACCGTAGATGAATATTCAGAGTGGTATTTATAATTTCTAAATAATAAGTTTGTTTTTGTTGTAAGTTTTTTTTTTCATATTTTGTGTATAATATTAATAATAATACATTAATGCTAACATAATTAGCAATTATTTCTAGTGTTATACATGTTAATGGATGAAGTATAGAAACAGGTACAGATCTTTATAGATAGTTTTTTCATATTCATATTCTTCATTACATCGTGAAATTTAACATTTTTACATGTTATAATGAATACTGTACAAGTATGTGCGGTACAAATCCATCATACAAATGCTTTGTGATTTAACCGACAAATGTATAGACATTTTTATTTTAACCATAGTTAATTTTATTTTTTAATAACATTATAATAATTCTATTGCAGTGATTGATAGTCAAAGCAAACCAACACAATTACAGTCCCGTCTTTTGACTTACGTAATGAAATTGAAGCATCAGCCACGTTCCCCGCTTATACAACTGCATATGCTCTANGTTCCCCGCTTATACAACTGTAAATGCTCTAGTAATTTCAGACAATGTACTTACTTATATACCTTTTGATGGAACCATCATAACATTTTTTGCATGTTTCTGTAAACATTTATTATAAACCTCGCAATTATTATTATTATTATTCTAGTTATGAATATTGACGGCAGCGCAATAAAAACGTTGGGCTTGTTGTGGAATCCATGTGATGATTATTATCAATACAAATATAATAACATCGAATCAAGTAAACAATCAATTTCTAAACGTACAATATTATCTACTATAGCGACAATATTTGACCCGCTTGGACTAATTGTACCGGTTGTAGTATCAGCGAAAAAGATAATGCGACAACTATGGGAACTGAAAACGGGTTGGGACGACAAGATGCCCGCACACATTAGTCGGGAATGGGAAACGTATCGTAATGAAGTAGTAGATATCGAAAAAATAAAAATACCACGAAGAATAATTGGTTGTGACAACGTGTGCGACATGCAAATTCACGCTTTTGCGGACGCGTCTATGAGTGCATACGGATCGTGTATTTATTTAATGGCAACAGACACAGACGGGTCGCGTATAGTTCGACTTATTGCGTTAAAATCACAAGTCACTCCGTTAAAAATAATTTCACTCGCGCGACTGGAACTGTGTGCCGCCGTATTATCAGTGTGTCTCGTCAATAAGTTAATTCCAAAGTATAATAATTATTGTTGTACAAGTAAAATATGATATTGGCCAGATTCACAAATCGTTCTGACATGGATAAATTCACCATCCTCTCGATGGAAAACGTTTGTTTCTCACCGCGTCGGAGAAATATATAACACTTATATGGCTGCGCAATGGAAGCACGTACGATCAAGAGATAATCCCGAGAATGCAGTCCAAAAGCACTAACAGAAAATAAATTATGGTAGTGTGCATAAATATACATCTTGTTTCAAATCTAAACCAAAGGTATTTCAACCGATTATGGGCATCTTACCGAGCACGCGAGTTACAAGTTTCGATAAAACATTTTATGCAACTGGCGTGGATTTTTGTGGGCCTATCTATTTTAAAAATAGTTTACGACGGAACTCTACTAAAATAAAGGAATATGTATGTATTTTCGTGCGCTTTTCATGTAAGGCCGTTCATATTGAACTAGTTGGTAACTTAACAACAAATGCGTTTTTAAATGCACTGAAACGAATGTGGTGTCGTCGGGGTATCGAAAAATTTATATATTCAGATAACGCCACAAATTTCGCAGGAAGCAACAATAAATTGAAGGAATTAAAAAATGTATTTTGATCAAAAAAACACCAAGCTGTAAAAAATTGCCTTGCCTCTGTCAATGTGGAATGACGATTCATTCCAGCCCGTTCACCACACTTTGGCGGTTTATGGGAGTCGGCAGTGAAATCAGTAAAGGGACATTTAACGAGAACATTAGGTGAAGCATCACTTACTTTTGAAGAGTTAAACACTGTATTAGTTCGCATCGAAGCGCGTTTAAACTTACGACCCTTGATACCATTATCTACGGATCCTTCAGATCTTAGTGCACTAACTCCAGCTCACTTTCTCATCGGTCGATCATTAATTGATATCCAGACGTTATAAACATCACACCTGGGCGATTAAAACGATGGCAAAGAGTCACACAATTGGTACAACAAGTTTGGGAACGTTGGCGAACTGAATACTTGTCAACATTGCAATCAAAATTTAAGTGGCACACCTCAGCCGATCTCACACCAGCTGTTGGTGCACTTGTCTTAATTGGATCTTATAAGTGTAAAATGGTAGCCGGTATGTTAGCGCGAGACATAATATAATATTGTATTTTTACCTTTGTTTATCTGGTCAGCAATGTGACTATTGTAGTATAAGTCTAATCAGTGTACGTTCCACTGCTGAACCATCAGCGACGCGCTCTAAGTCACATTTATATTTAAATATTTTCATTTAAGTTTAAATTATAAATAAAAATCAAGAACAAATGTTTTGTAAATTTTATTTATTCTGAATAAATTTAATATTTATTACATTAATCTCAGAATTAAAAAATATCAAACAAATTAATCTAAGTGAGCGTTCGATTCATTAACATTAATAATTCCACTTCATAACCAATGGCTATGGATAAATCAATTAAAAATGGAGTAAATTTATTTGATACTTCTATACTCATATTCCTTATTACAATAATGATAATTTTTATATTATAAATCAATATAATTACTAGTTACAATGAACTAAAATCATACTTGTGTTATACTAGAATGTTATTGCCGATTTTGTGAGAACTTATCCCCAACCAGTTTCTTCAAAATATATTGTTCACGTGTTTCAATCAGTGATATCAGGTACATCAAAATATTCTATANACCAGATTTTTATAGTAATACAATTATCATTGTCACTACTGGTCGGTTAGAGGAGGCTTAACCCCTGTTTAATCCCTGTTGACGAAACAGCACCTAGAATTTTTTTTAAATTCATAAAAATATTGATATATTCAAGTAATTTCTGAAATAGGGGAAAAATATAATTAGTAACCTCAAAAATGTTATTCTAGTTGCACCTAAGATGCCTAAGATTACAAAAGGTTAAACACTAGGTTTTTAGAAATAATAGTAATAGTTTTTATTATTATCAAATACACAAATTAATAAGTTTCCTCATATCCTACATAAAATAAAGTTAGTTTATTTTAGCATAACTGATGTGAAATTCTACAAATGCGGCATGTGTAGAATCGTATCCATAAACATGTTCATGGCTATGGATAAATCAATTAAAAATTGAGTATTTTTATTTGATACTTCTATACTCATATTCCTTATTACAATAATGATAATTTTTATATTATAAATCAATATTATTACTTGTTACAATGAACTAAAATCATACTTGTGTTATACTAGAATGTTATTGCCGATTTTGTGAGAACTTATCCCCAACCAGTTTCTTCAAAATATATTGTTCACGTGTTTCAATCAGTGATATCAGGTACATCAAAATATTCTATAATATAATCAAACTCTGGTTAAAATATTGACAGAGGCAGTTTTCAAAATTAAATGTAGTTCCTGTAACGTAGGTATAATTAAAACTTTATATTTCAGTGGCGTAATTAGGGTTTCGTCTGGGGGGGATATACATAAGAAAATTTTTTCCCTTCCAAACGAATAAAAATGTATTTTCACTATATAATTATTTTGAAAATGTGGAGTATAACAACTTTATCTCCCCACGATTACGACTGTTTTATAGTACATAGTATTTTGTAATAAATAATTTTAAACCCTTAAATCTCAAAGCTCTAGCCCCATAACTTCTTTTCCCTTCATAGTACGTGTTTGAGAATAGTTAAAATGTTAGTAATTTTAAAAAAGATAACCGATATTGTTAATGTTCCATTTTATTTTACGTTATTCAAATTGAAAAAGGGTTAGATATATAATTCAAGTTCAACAGTTAACAATTAATTTATTAAATTTTATAAATAATAGTCTTTAAATAGGCCGTTTTTTAACTTCAATGAATTCCAAAAACATTAATAATAATATTTGACATTATTATTAGGTCGATTTCAAAAGTACGATTATGGGCCATATGGAAATATAAAACATTACAATTCTTCAGTTGTTTTCGAATAAATATTACAAAAGTAACTGCACCTTCAATTATTATCTACTCAAAGGATGATATCGTTACATCGCCTTCAGTAATACATTAATTTATTAATTAATAATGAATCTAACTTAGACTAACATAAAAGCAACCACAAAGTAGGGTAATTAGGCCCTCCGAACAACAGTTGTTTCTCCCCTTATCATTTGTGTGAATTATGATATTCATTATTTATCATAAAATATTATAGAATAAAATAAAATGTTAATGAAAAAAAATTTATAAGGTGATATTTTATCATAAACTATCTATTTAATCGAAAAATAAAAATAATTTAGTTAAGTTTTGAAGTTAATTAATACAAATTTCTACTGGCTGATGGTGTGTTAGGGATAATTTAACAAAATTTAAAAATGAATATAACTTCGGCCCTAACTATAAGGATATCAACTTTACTTTTTCAAAAGGAGACATATACATGGTATCCCATCAGGTTATGACATTTTTAATAAACTATGACTCAGAAAATATTTTGTATTAATTTTTTTTATATAAATTTTTACAGTTTATGACTACGTTAAAAGCACATTTTATTATTTGTCTCTAATAAACAAATGAATAAATAAATATTAAAATTTTTATATTTTAGTTTTTCAAAATTTGAAAATAGCTCTTTTTTAGTAATGTTCATGCAAAAAAATTAAATGGGTTATAAACATCTTTAGGGCGATTATTTTTTGAGCTACAAGCATTTTAATACGTCAAGTGGTTATATTGTACGGGAGTAGTATCCATTATAAAAATAAACTACAAGCAAATTTCCCGACTGGCCATTTTCCCTAAATTCTTTTCACTGATCCATTTCCCCATTATTCATTTTCCTGAATGGACAATTATTGTTATTTAAATTTATTATGATAATAAAAATGGGATTAAATATACACCAGTATAAATTTTATCCACTCGCCTGATTTGTCAGTTAAATTTGTTCTACCATATATAGGATGTTTAGTAAGTAAGGAAACGGGTTTCTATCGTTCTCATTGTAACAACTGACCTGTATCTTTACATACTGAATACTCTGTGTATGTATTAAATAAGCTAATTAATTATAACTATCTACTTTATTTATAAGTTAATGATATAAATAAGAAAATAACTGTCTCATAACATTTTGACCAGTATTCCAGAAATTATTGACAATTTAAAGTAACGACTGGAGGTGAGGATTGTGTTGCTTTTATTTGATTAAACATCTTTCGGCCATACTCTTCCTCTCACTTACATATAAATATGTCAATAATTTCCGAAATACTAGTCCAAAAGTTATATCAAACAGTCATTTCCTCAATTTGATAATTTTAATAAATAAACTAGTTATTCATATATATTAACATAAGAAAGTATAAAGTTGATACATTTCTAATGTATTAGAATAAAATATAAAAAATAATTAATATTACCATTACTGTATTGAATTGAGTAAAATATGTTACTGAAATAAAACAAAAAAATTATTATTAATATTTCTTTTTTGGTTAAAATAAGTTGATTGTAATCAAAGAATTACTCAGTTACATACTAATTATTCTTAAACTAGATTATGAACGTTATTTTTATAAATATAATGTTTATAATGAATAATTTAACTACAGTCTTAACTAAATTTTCCTATTTTTGATAAAAAGAGAAGTTTCTAGGTAAAAGGCACAGAAGTTATTCCGTGCACTATCCAGGCTCATAACTTAAAGCACACAAAAAGTTTAATTTAAAAATCTGTCGCAAGACAAATCAAAACCAACTAAGGGCAGTGTAGTGTATAAAGATAATAATGTGTCTGTTTGGATATTCACGTACATGTATAAAATGTTGTTCTAAAAGTATTAATATAGAGTTGATCTTATGAAATTAATCAATTGGAATTTTAGTGAAAAATACATATAAAATTTAAGTCGTAAGTTAAATTATTGCTGAAACTTATATTAGACAAATATTCGCAAAATTATTTTAGGAAAATGTTTTAAATTCCTTTAATTGTGGTTCAGTAAAACTTGTAGCTTTAAAATTTAGACGGAATTAGATACTATGACGTAGTTATTACTTTTAAATTTATATTTTTCTGAATAATTTTTGTTTTTTCATAAGAAAATCGATTTTACTCAATTTCATATCAAACAATTCATTTTTTTTTTGAATACTAAGTCTAAAGTTATGTTTAAATTAATACTGTGACAATAAATCACTTTTTAACTGTTTAAACACATTTTTTTCAATAGTGTTCAGTATAATAAATGTTTATATAAATAAAATCTTACATTAAATATCTAAAATTTATTATAGTGTAGTTTTGAATAAGTACTACTTTTAAGAAGTTTATTATTGATTAATTAAGATACTAATAATGATTTTTTATCAATATTGTGTGTTAATAGTCATCTTTGGGATATTTTGTAATATACAATTTATCACTTGTAGTTATTTTAGAGAGGCGGCAGGATTTATTGATGAACTTGAAGAAACAGAAAAACTTGAAGTAGCATTGAATCTTGATACTGGATTTTCTTATAATACTAACCCTGAAAAGTTTGAAATGGATTTCGATGATTGGAAATATATGATTCTCGAGAAACCTGAACCAGGATATAAAACATATACCAAAACAGAATTTATCTACAAAGATCTTTATTGCGGTGATTTATATAATTTTTTGCAATTCATAAACTCCATTCAATCCTTAATAGAATATGATTCTACTTATGAATACGATCTTTTATTGTTGAATGAATCAATTATTCAACAAATGCTAGCTGTACAATTAAAGGTAGATGTACTAATACAATATTTACAGCCTTTTTGGAAAATGTACATGTTTGCAATTTATATAAAATACCAATCGAATATTTTATCGATGAAATCACATGTTATGACAATTCTACAAAATATAAACAATTGTTTATCGTTTTATACAACTAATAACTGTCGAAAAAATAATAACTACAATGTAAGAGATGAATTTTACGCACTAGAAAAACATGAGAATATTTCAATGATAGAAAAAGTAAAGACAGTAATGGTAAATAGAAATAATATTAATAATATTTTACTGCACGGTGAAGAAGTAGAAGATTGGGTTTCTCTTAAGATAATTTATCTTCACGATATTATTCAAAATACAGATATGTTGAAAACTATAATAATGGATTTCGGTGAACAAAGTGAGAAAACTTACGAAGACATTATCAAAGATATTAATATTGCATGTCAAGCCGCAAAGAATTATTATTGGTTTGATATATGGATTTCTAAAATTAGAGTTTATCATGATAAAATCTTTAACATTTTTAGAGTCGTAACTTTACATTTAATTAGAAAGCATTTAATGTATTTAAGAAATAAGGATGGAAAAATTATGATTCAGTATAATAAAGAAATGCGTAATTTCTTGCGACATAATAAGTATACATTTAATTTGTTAATTCCTGATTTTTCAAATTTCCCAGCTTTGTTATTAATTAAACCAGGAAAACACTTTGAATACTATGATGATGTAAATAATAAAATCATCGGAAAGGTTGAATACATGATAGAAAAATCATTTGTTGTTGAGTCATTTGAAATATTACAAATAGAAGTAAATAACGAAATATATAACATGAATTCAATTGAGAAAACTAATGCATTAATGAAATTAGTTCAAATAAGCAATGAAAAAAAAGAAAAAATAGAGGATTTTCAAAATATCTCTGATAACATAGGCTTGAATGATAATTTCGAAAGGTTTAATATATTTTTAGAATATTTTAAAAATATATTTAAGCATAAACTTAGAGTTTTATGGTCGTTCAAACAATTTAGTTCGGACTACAATAAAACTAAAAGTCGGAAGCGGCAAGAAGAAAAATTTCTTGACCTATAATATTATAATTGTTGTCATAAATCTTAATCTAAATTTAATTTTGAGTGTCCAATAATATTAAAATTAATAATGTTTGAACGGTTAAAGGTTTTTATTTTACCAGTTAAATTATGAAAAATGATCCATTGTACTTCGAGTATTTAAATTATTTAAAAAACTATGAATTCATAGATTTTGTTCGTATTATGGTTGACTAAATAATCAAACTTATGTAATTTAAAAGAATTAATTATAATATTTCATGCTTATAACATAAATTATTTTTATTACATTGTAATGTTATATTATTACTTATAATAATGATCACCAAAACAGGGTTCTCTTATTTAAAATACAAAATAACCAGTTTATTATGGGATAAAATCTAATTATCGTCTAATTTATTTGGTCTTAGAATATTTTTATTTAAAACTAAATGACACTTAGAAATATTAAAGTGAATTTTGTTTTGGTGAATATTTTAATTTAATTTAATTTGTTCATTGAATAATAATGTTTTATTTTTCTTATTATGGAAATAAATATCAAATTATATTTAAAACATTAAATCTTATTTTAATTATTTTATTAGCTTCGATTTTACTATGATGTGTTTTTTTATAATAAATCTAACACAACTTTAAATTTTTATTTAAAAGTAAAAATCTATTGTGAGCTTTTCTTTATGGGTAACATATAACTAGCTTAGAACATATTTCCAAGCTTATGTGTATTGGGTAGCTAGTCTTTGAGCTTATGTCACAGGTAAAGGGGATTCGAAGGATTTTTCAATATCCTTTAGGGATGGGGTGATTGGGAGATCGTGATAAGGTTGAAAAACTTTGGATAAATGTTCACTAGGGTGGTTCTTAAAATTAATTTAGTAAAATTTAAAAATTATACAATCTCAATTAGTTCCAATATTAAAAAAATGAGTTACACAATGTTTCAGGTAAATCAGAAAAGATTAACCCGTGACACAAAAGGCCTAAAGTTTGAAAATTCAAAAATTTTGAATAACCGTACATTTTTCATTGTTTCTTTTTAGTGCAGCGCGTGATATAATGGAATCAAAACAAAATCGTAAAATCAAATGTTTAAAATTATATTCTGAACAATCTTTTGATTTACTTATTATTTACGTATAAAAAGTCAATATATATAATTTTGTTGTTAAAAACTCACAAAATAAAGTGAATGTTAGTTGTAGTTTTTCATCTCGTGGTAATTTTCGTAAAATATCATAACATCAATGTATAATCTTGAATAAACTTTTATCAAGCCATCAAGTCACAATTTATTACGAGAATGACTAAAAAGACGATGTATACTTTATCAAAACCCTTACTAATATTTGTCCTTACTATACATTTGTCTGGTTATTGTTTTCATTAGTTCTACTGCGCCCTTATGATCATTTTTAGATCGTATACATTTTAGTGTTTACAATAATTTTCATATTTTTAAATTTTTTTTAATACATATTAAAATGGCCTCACAGAAAACTTTACGAAAAGATACATTTATATTTTTGATTGGTTTCCCATCAAACCAAATTATTGGTAGTAAATCACTGTCAATAAGACAAGTACTATCGGTTTTTTTTTTAATAATCGTCATGTTAACCTGAGTATACTTGAAAGCTCTAAACTGACAATATGTTATAAACAAAAAAAAAAGCGTAATAAAGAAAGGGGAAGAACGAAAGAATAGAGTCGTATCTCGGGGTCGAACTTTATTTATTTATCAAATAATAAAATATCCCTACCTCATTTATTCTTATTTTTGTTTATTACGTGATTTTTTTTAGAAGTAAGACATGCAAATTAATATTCGCACTTACATTTATTTCCTTTAGTAATTGATTGAGTTGGTTTTATGGTGATTTCTTCTTTCAGTGTTAACAGTCGTTTATACTGTCTTGCGTTTATTTCGATAAATTAGTATCTCTGTGTATATAAATCGTAAAAAAGGGGATTCTCTACAATGGGACCTGCGTCAATTATAATTTGTCAACTTTTTTTTTTATTTTCTTTAAATTCCTTTTATATTATACTATGTTTTTACTAATAATATTTTCGATGAATTCCCTATGTCGATATCGATATTCTTAAAATTTACTCTGAACTAGTCAAAATATAATTATAAGAATATGTCTATCTATATTCAAAATATAATTAACAAGACTGTGGTGGCCCAGCGTTTTTCAGCGTAAAGCCTTGGCTGGCGCGGACACAGTTACCTCGCTAATATATTTTAAATATTATTTCAATACACCTTTTACTATCCTTTACGTCAACTGTCTACACGTTACCGAAAGGTATTTGGTATAGTCCTTTATGGCTGGCGGGTACACACGCAGAGAATATTTCCAAGATGTAGTTTCCTATCTTACGGACTATATATTTTATGATGAACTCTACCCGGACTACTAGCTCTAGAACTGGCTTGTCGACGGATATAGCGCACTTCAAAAATACTCTTTTTATAAGTTTAGTACTACTCTGTACCTCAACTGCCTACACGTTGCCGAAAGGTAATTGGCATAGTCCCTTAGGGCTGGCGGGTACACAGGCATAAAGTACTACTACTAAAACTAATTAATTCTAATCACAAATTATGCTTCTTCAGTTAGTTCGGCACATTTAAGGCTGTTCATAAATGTAGGGCACAATAAGCTTTATTATGAATATACGATAATGTAAAGGCTATTATGACTGTATAAATAAAATTACGCTTCTTCACTCTTTTCGGCACATTTGAGGCTGTCCAGAAATGAAGAGCACAATAATATTTAAAATTCTCATATATTACAAACTATGTCTAAATAAATAAAATTACGCTTCTTCACTCTTTCCGGCACATTTGAGGCTGTCCAGAAATGAAGGGCATAATAATATATAAAACCTTTATATAAAAAATAGAGATAGTGTCTATTTGTCGTGAGAACATTAGGTGATAATAAAATAAATAAAAACTTGTTCCTGTGTAAAATATCAATAAATCATCTAAGACAATGTTCACCACTTAGGATGATACATATAAAAAAAAACTAAGTTACAGGGACAAAATATTTACTTATACTGACGCAGATTCCATGTAAGAGAATATTTAGAGGGTAGTCGTCGCAGTCGCTGCCGCAGAAAATCGTCAAAAGAAGTCCAGAGAAATCCAAAAGAAGAGGAGGTTTTTACGAGAAAAAATGGCTTTTTATACGCCGGATGAAGTAAGCCAGCGATCTCTATTGAAATTCCTAAGATGTTGGATAATTATTTGTGATTGGTTAATTGTGATATAAACCCTGCCGTGGGCGTAGTTAATGAATTGTAGGGGACTGGTTTGAAACATGTGTTGATAAATAGTTATTTTTATTACCCTAAAAGGGAAACATTCCTTAGATGATTTTTGGCTTTATTCATATATATGTGATATTTAGTATATGTGTTAATAATTATACTACAAATAAAAGAGATAATTATTATTTGTCAAAAAGAGCATATACCTATCAGTTCTGAACAGTATTGCATAAAAAGATTTCAAAAATATTACGATGAATGGAGAAATTTACAAAAACTGCAATACAGAAAATCTGACACTCAATCAAAAAAAAAATGAAACATTTAGTTCAAAACTAAATGATTTGTTTGTTATTGCTCAAGTTGATGCCCTTAATTTAATTTCATTACAAGAAGATAGAGATTTTTTATAAATGCAAAGACAAAAAGGACGTCGTGGTATTATGTTAGGAGTTGACATGAATATTGCACAAAAAGAAAAAAGAGCCAATGACAATTTAAAGATGTCCGAAAAAAGACGTAAAAGAAGCTATGACGAGATACAGTCATTGAGTAAGTTTAATGTTGTTTTTGAATTATTATTTAATAATTAAGTATGTATTTTAGATGCGCAAGTAGAAATGTGCTCATCTTCAGAGTCTGACGTTGCTGAAGATGATTTTAACTAGCCTGGACCGTCTAAAATGTACGTTAAACAACCGACTAGTAGTAATTAATACTAGTAAGTATTGATTTTATTAAAACTTGCAGCTGCACTCGATAAATACAAAATTAGTGATAGAGATTCAGTTCATATATTAATTTCAACAGCAAAGGCATTAGGTGAAGACGTTGAAAAATTAATTATAAATAGATCTTCAATTCGAAACTCACGCATACGTTTCCGTAAAGAACGTAAGAAGTGTTTCGTTAAGTTCATATTTTTTGAATAATTGTGTTCAAATTTTGTGTATTTGTGTTAATTAAAATAATTCCACTCTGATGTGAATATTTTTTTTTTATTTAGTTCATATATGTGTAATTTTATAAGTAATTAAAATATTATGGCAAGCACAAGCACTAAACCTATATGTTACATAAAGGATCGAAGAGTTTGGCTAGTTGGAGGTACAATCGAATCAATTACTGGTTGCAAACTACCATCTAACCAGCACTTTGTCGTTTTTTTCATTTGCATTTGCATTACTGTTTTTACTTTTTTTATAATTGAAATCATCTTTTTTGTTTCTAGTGCGTAAAATTAATTTGTTATATTATATTTATTATTTTTTCGATAGTAATTAGTAGTATAAAAAGATAAACAATCCTTTATATTTTCTAGAATTGTCATAACATGTGATTTCAGCGATAAAATATTCCCCATCGTTTGGTATTTTATATAATTAGCAAACATGTACATTTTCCAAAAAGGCTGTAAATATTGTGTTAGTACATCTACCTTTAGTTTTACAGCTAGCATTTGTTGAATAGTTGATTCATTCAACAATAAATGATCGTATTCATAAGTAGAATCATATTCTATTAAGGATTCATTAGAGCTTATAAATTGTAAAAAATTATATAAATCACCGCAATAAAGATCTTTGTAGATAAATTGTGTTTTGGTATACGTTTCAAATCCTGGTTCTTCTCTATCGATTATAGTACCTTTCCAATCATCGAAATCCATTTCAAACATTTCAGGCTTAGTATTATAAGAAAATCCAGTATCAAGATTGAATGCTACTCATACTTCATCTGCTTCTTTAAGTTCATCAACAAATCCTTCTGCCTCTATATAATAACTACAAGTGATAAATTGTATATTACAAAATATCCCAAAGATGACTGTTAACATACAATATTGATAAAAAATCATTATTAGTATCTTAATTAATCAATAATAAACTTCTTAAATGTAGTATTTTTTCAAAACTACACTATAATAAATTTTAGATAATTTAATGTATGATTTTATTTATATAAACATTTATTGTACTGAACATTATTTAACAATAATGCGTGTTTAAACAGTTAAATAGTGATTTATTGTCACAGTATTAATTTAAACATAACTTTAGACTTAGTATTCAAAAAAATTAATTGTTTGATATAAAACAATAAATATTCAGAAAAATATAAATTTAAAAATAATAACTCCGGGTTAGCTGTGGGTGTCAAAAGGCTGTTATTATAGGAAGGGAATAAGGGTAATACCTAGGTACGAGGTGCAGACGAAGTGCAAGACATAAGTACTCTGAAA